CGCAGCCGCGGCCCATGGAGCCCGCTGGCCTGCACCCGGGCCGCTTCGGGCCGCTGCTCTGCCTGCTACTCGCCGCGTCTTGTGCTTGGCCAGGTAAGCAACCCTACTTTCCGCCTCTGCCCTCCCCAGACTGTGGGCTTGGGCCTCTCAGACCGCCGCTGGGAGCCGCTCGGCTATTGCGGAACAGCCATAGGGGGAGAGATGCCTGTAACCAGGGTTACAGATGCAGACACCGAGGCCCAGAGAAGGCGGGCGACTTGGCCAAGGTCACACAGCCCAGGCTAGAACCCAGGTTAAAACTCTTCCTATGAAGGCTTGTCTGGAGCTTAGGGATGAGTTGGTTCACCCACTCCTTGCCCAGGTGGGAGAAGCAGGCTGACAGTGGCTTTCAGAACTGGGCACCCTAGTGTCTGCAGAAGCTAGACACATGCTTTCCACAGGTTTGACATCGGGGTCTGCGAAGGGAGGTGGAGGCAGAGGCACTTCGTGGAAAGAAACCGGAACAGGCTGTTGGATTAGGCAAGAGTGAGCTCTCTCTGGTCGCAGAGTCCACAGTGTTAGTGTATGGGGAGCTAAAGAGACAGGAAGGAAGGCCCGGGGCTGCAGTGATCAACAGATCCTTCCTGAAATTGCGATAGATTGTCCCTGTGGTTGGCACAGCCTCTGGCAGCATGGTCCCCTCCCTGCTGCTCACTGCGCCCCTTCCCTTCTGCTGTCCTCGCAGCCCCCTGCAGTTTAGTCTCTCCTCCGGGCTGTTACCTGTGGCTCCAGCATGTCTTTTTGTCGGCCTACATCAGACACCTGGCTATCTTAAGCGGGCAGGCTCTGAAAGCTAGTGTGTGTTCGCCAAGGGGTGAGGTCACCATTCTGGGAGTCCTGGTTCTTAAAAGGATTCTGCAAAACTGTGGGTCCCCCTAGGAGGGTTGAGGGGCCACAGAAATAGGGTTGGGGAGGGAAAGTAATCTGGGGAACGTTGTTTTATGGCCTCTTGAAGCAATATTCTGGGCAGAGGGGTGCCTGCACCTCCCACTCTTGGGCAGGGAGATAGAGATGAGCTCACTATACCCCCACCCGCGTTTGCCTAGAGACTGGTAACCATCTAATAGCAAGGAGAAAGAGAGAACTAAGCAAAGAGTGGGTGGAAAGAGAAGTGGGGGGGGGGCTGGACAGCAGCTTCTCTCTGCCTGCAGTTTCCCCTGAAAACCACAAGACGCTCCCCAACCCCTAGTTCTTTTCAGTTAAAACAGGGTCCTTGCAGGGTGGGTAGAAGCGCTGGTAGATTTCACATCTGTCCTCTGAGTGGATTTCATCTTCACCTTCCTGCTTAAACCTGCCATTCATCTCTACAAAAATTCCAGGCTCCTGCCCTGCCTTCCTCCCCCTGGCTTGGAAATGCACAGGTATCTCTCATAAGTGCTTAATTTTCCTAAAGCAGGGAACTGGGCTCAAGTTAATTTCTGAATGTCTATTCCTGACCCTTCTCTGCCCAGGACCCTGTGGTTCAGTCACTGGCAAATGAGCAGTGACACTGATTAACAAGTGTTCCAATGGGCAGCCTGCCTTAGCTGGGGTGCTGGCTGGGAACACCAACACCTTTCTTGCTAGCACATCTCCCCCTTTTGCCTGTAAAAACAATCTATAAAATGGTAAAGATTGGACTATAAAACTTCCGTTCCAATCCATTCAGCATCAATAGCCTGAGAAAGTAGGAGCAGCAGAGGGGCCTGGATTAACTTTAAAATAAATAAATCTTAGGAGGCAAGAATGAATTTCTTGGTTGAGGATGGTGGGGAACGGATGAGGTATGGCCATCAGAGCTCCCAGCAGCCTTCACTGTGTGTTTCTCTGTGTACCCTTGGCCCAGGATGGAATTCATCTGGACTGGTTAGAAGATGGGACTTCAGGCTCCTCTCTCTGTGATTGGTGGCATGGAATTTACAAGGAAGCAGAAGAGAGACACGATAGAAAGACAGGAAGGTAGAAAAGGCAGTTGTCCAATTTTCTAAGAAAATAAATTTGTTCTAGTGAGAAACTTAAATGTCAGGCTTAGAAAGGAGGCTTTGGCTTGAATGACTGCTAGTTTCTCTCAGAGCTGTCATCCTGGGAGGTGTCATGTGACTGCTGTGGCTTCACATGATCACTGGTGAGGGGTGCTGGTCATGTGAATTATCCTGGTTGGGGGTGGGTAAAAAGTTTCCAAAGATTGCATTTGGCACAAGGGCTGCCAAAGGGAAATTCTAAAAAGATTCCGATGAAGTCATCACCCTGTGTTCCTGGAGCCAATGTAAGGGCCCATTTTCTGACACAAACTGAGCTGAGAGAGACTTGGGACACCTGGGGTTCCTGACTCTGAGGCTAAAAGGCCTGACACTGAACCTGCAGGCTGCCTGCTTGGACCCATTTAGGCCTTGGAACCTCAGGGTCACCTCCAGGCATACCTCAGATGAACTCCTTTGCCTTGGTCTAAAGGAGGCCAAGCCAAGTTGGGGTTCCAGCCTTGGGGGCAGTGGAGCTCTCCATGAGCCTCTAACCCTTCATGGGGGTTGATATTTTGGTGACTCTTTTGTACTTTCCAGAGTGATAAAGTTGCTCTCACTTCCGCTTTCTTAGGATGAGATGGGCTGGGGGTTTGACTCTGCCATGGCTAGGCTATGAGGAGGTCTTGTAAAGCCATGAGTTCTCCAGGTACTTTCTGGCCATTAATTTTTCCTTTACCAACCCCGCAGATACTCATGGTGTGATTCATTCTTTTGCTTGCATTCAGCAGGGATGAAGTCCTAATGTGAACCATGTGTTGAGAGAGGGAGGAGAAGCAGTGTTTATTAAGCAGTTAACTGCATTCCAGGCTGTGAGCTTTAGCTATGCTATCTCATCCATCAACATGCAGGATTTGGCTCTTATCCCCATCTCACAGATGAGGAAAATGGAGTCCAAAATTGGGGACATAAAGCTAGTGGTAAGAGGTAGGGTGACTGTTGAGTGACTCCAATGGAAGCAATTAAATGACTGAATCTGTATTTCATACTCTTAAGCTAAAGGAGAGGGTGAGAGGAGGGGCCCATTTGGGTTTAAATGGAAAGTTAGGGCCAGGCTTCTTCTCTGGGCAGAAGTTTTAGACTGAGTCACAGATGTCCCCTGAAAGCTGTCCAAGGGTGGAGCTCTAGCAGCCCCTTGGCCTTTACAAGTAACAAAACATGGGGAGTGAACCCCCATCTGGGCTGCAGAGCTCTGGAGCCCCCAGAGCTGGAATGTTCCTGCATCTTCCCGGTGCCCTTTGCAACAGATGGAGAGGGGGTGTGAGAGAGGAAGGGAGTCTAAAAGTGTTGTGCAGATCCCACACGTACCCGCTCGCTGCTTCCAATGGCTCAGTGCGACAGGTTATTTTCTTATTTGTAGACTTGGACTGATGAAGGTTTCTCCCTCCTTTCTCTTTTCCAATGTGCTCAGATTTCTTGCCTGTCAGCACAGCTCTGATCATGTCACTCCCCAGCTCAAAACTGTTGAGCTGTTGGTCCAGGTTTTCTTTTTAAAAAAAAAATAATAATAATAATAACAGCAGGGCCTGGGCATCCTTCCTGACAAGCCCTGTCTCTCACTGGATGTTTTCCAGCAGGCTGACCTGTTGAGTTGCTGCAGGAAACAGGGCTTCCTCCCTGAGGACTGGAGCTCTGCTGTCTACTCAGGAACATTGGTGTCTGAAAGACCAGAGGAGTCCCCTTGGAGGAATCCAAAGTCAGACATAATTGCCTAACATTACCACAACAAGGAACAAAACGCCTTAGTTTGTCTCTCAAACTAACCCGCATCTCTTATCTCTGAACCTTTGCTTAGGCTGTTCCTGCCATTAGAAATGCACCTCCCCATACCTCCTTGTCCTCCTGTTTCTGAACCCTGCCATACCTCCTGCTCTAAGTGATTTCTGCTTCGTCGGAGCCTCCAACCATGGATTTTTATCTGCTCCTGTGTGAGACTACTTACTGTATCCTCCTTGTGACCATGTACCTGTGTGTTTAGCTCTCGTACCTGCTTCTGGAACCTAAGCAACAGTGTAACTTCTCCACACAGAGACAAACATCGTTAGTGCAGTGAGAGCAAACCTGTTTTACTTATGCTGCAGTGAGCTGTTTGTATCATTGAGAGCTCTGAATGGTTCACCATCACTGGTCTAGGGCTACGCAATACCGAAGGTCCTGGCTGTTAGCCCAGCCTTACTACCTACTTGGGCAATATGCTGAGGCTCTGGGTCTCAGTTTTCTCATCTGTAAGATAAGGATGGAATTGCCAGCTCTGTTTTAAGGACTAAGTGGATGTGTGCATATATGACACTTCAGGCAGGCCTACTATGTAGTCAGCCGGCGCTCGGTGCAGATTAGCCACTGTTGTAATCAGTATTTTATTCTGATTTCTTCATCTATAAAGCGTCTAGCCGGGTGCTGGGTGCATAGTGAGGACTCAGGAAGCATCCGGGAGTGGCTGAGTGAGTGAATATCAATGTCGCTCTGCTTGATGTTTTCTCTGAAGCTTTTGTGCTGTTGGGGGATGGACAGGTTGCGCAGAAACCCAGGCTGGTACGCTGTAATTGCAGGTTTCAGGACTGAGTGCTGCCATGGATGTGTCCTGCCTCTAGGTGGCTTTGTCTTGATCCACAGGTCTGGAATTGTGGAATGCTGGAGAGGCTCCATCCTCTCATCCAGCACCTCACAGTGCAGCCCAAGAGAAAGAAAACACATGGACCTAGGGCCAGGCTTGGCAGAATGCCAAGCTGCCTGGGGTCTAGGCCAAGCCTTTTAAAAACTGAGCTGTGCTGGAAGTTTCCATCATGAAACCCAAAAATCTGTCAGGACCCTCAATTCCATGAGAAAATACTAAAGTAATAATAGGAACCACCATTTCTTGCTGGTTACCGGGCTCGGGCTTGGTGGGTGTGACCCTTGTGGTACCCGCATTAGTCCTGGGTAGTGTGCAACATTAGCAGCTGTTTCATTTGATCAGTGAGGTAACAGAGGCTCAGAGAGGTGAAGCAAGTTGGCCAAGGCCACCAGTGTCAGAATCAGACGACCACAGGGCCAGTGCTGTAGCTGTCACATTATTCT